GAAAAAGAGAGAGCATCGAGAAACTACAAGGACTAGGCTGGAGCTAGCAAAATTCGGAGTTGCAAAGTGACAGCTCGGCCTCCCATCGATTCCTATCCTCTGCATAGCAAGCCTGGGTTCTTCCCAGGGCAGTCACTCACCGAACCCCGTAAAGCCCATGGTGACCGCCAGCTGCGGGTCCGGTCCCGACGCGTCTGCGCCCGTCACTGCAGCAAGAGAGAGAAAAGACCTCATTACTGCGGCGCCTCGGCTCTCCGCAACACGGCCCACCCACCTGAACTCGCCTCACGAAACCCACCTTCACTGGGCCCCGAGCTCTCCATGGCCCACACACCACAGGACGCCCAACAGACACTCCTCACAAGCTGCCGGCAACCGGAACGGAAGTGTTGCCCCAGAGCCGTCAGGATCGCCGCCGACGCCAAGAGCGGCGCCTTCCGCCGAGCGAACCCAGCTGTTCAGATACGCGCCGCCCTAGCGGTGTGGCGGGGAAGCGCAGCCAAAGCCGACACACCGCGCCCAATTCAATCCAATGCAGGAGAAATTGAACTGGAGTTTTTCTAAATCCTTGACTTTAAGGCGCGTCTCCCGTCCAAGTGACAATCGTCACACACTTCTAAACAGAGGACAACATTCTCCCGTTCTTTTCATTTTATCCTAATCTGTGACGACAATCCACAGTTGTGAGTATATTTCCCTCAAATACACTTTTGAGTATATTTTTAAAGAAGAAATTCTGAGTCTCTACTTTATGACTCAAGAGCACTCGGAGGGAAACCAAGAAGACAGAGTAGATAAAAGAATTGCCAGACAATGCCCTAAAGCATCTTCCATTAGCCAAAGATCCTCATTGACTTACTTATGCTTGTCTATAAAGCAAGGGTTCCAAAACACTTTATTCACATATCTATTATACTTCCAACTTATGTTGGTGTTGATTTCTTTACAATGTGACTCCTTACCGATGCTATGAATTTGGGGGAGGGGAAAGGGACAGTCCTAGGGTTTAAACTCAAGACCTTGTGCCTTCTTAGGCAGGCACTCCACTGCTTGCATCATGACCCCAACCACTTTTACTTCTGGTTATTTTTGAGATAGGGTCATGCTTTTACCCCAGGGCAGCCTGAACTGCAGTCCTCCCTTTTAGCCTCCCTCATAGCTTGTATGACAGGTGCACATCACCACACCCAGCTATTTTTCTGTTGAGATGGGGTCTCAAGAAGTTTTTTCCCAGGCTAGCCAAGAAGCACAATCCTCCCAGTCTCAGCCTCCCACATAGCTAGGATTACAGGTGTGAGCCACCATCACTAGCACAATACATGAATTAATGGCATACTATTTTATCCTTATATTCCTAAACTCTGGTAAAGCTATGTGTACTCCTAATAAATGTTACTAAATGAAAATATTTTCATAAAATTATTCATTGCCCCTCCCATTAACTTTAATCTTCAACCTCAATTTATGCTTCATCTACATAACCTAGTGTTAATGACCAAGTCTAAATCATTGCATTGTTCTTAGAATAAAACTCAAAATTATTAACATGGGGCTGGGAATGTAGCTCAATGGTAGAGTGCCCTCTTAGTATGAGCAAGGCCTTCTATTGGATCTACAACTCAGCACCAAAAATACAAACAAAAAACAATATTAGCATGACTTCCAAAAACTTTGCTTTCAGACTAACTTCACTTGCTCTTTAAGCATTTATAGACTGTTGTAGGCTTTGTTTGGTCTAATTAGGTCCCTCTCTCCTCCCTTCAGAACACAATGCCTGATAAGGCACTGAGCATGTGTTTGCTAAGTGAAAGAAAGTAGTTGTATAGGCAAAAGTTACTTCTCTTACATGAAGGATGTTATATAATTTGGGGCAACAAAGTTTGGTTTCAAGAGATTACTTAACCACAAAGTAAACATGAACTTCAATCAATAGGATAATTCAGGGGCTGGTGGAGTGGCTCAAGTGGTAGAGCACCTGTCAAGCAAACAGGAGTCCCTGAGTTCAAACACCAGTACTGTAGCAGGGAGGAGGATCAAAAGAAAACAGACTAGGCCTGAGTCCTGAGAAAGTAGCAGGGAGGTGAGGATAGCATAGAAGAGAGATAAAACCTGAGAAATCTGAACATGAGGAAGGTCATGTAGCATTAGGGAGGGGAAAGTCACATAGCACTAGGGTAAAGTAGCCAATAAAATTAAATACAACCATATATGGATTATACCTTGCTTTTTGCTTCTGTAACCTGCTTTGCAAGGGTATATAAGGTAAAAGAGACCCTTTGTTCTCGGGCTCAGCCTTTGGACATGAGTACACTGAGTCTGTGCTGGCACAATAAAACATTGCTTTCTGCTAATTGCTCAAATCCTGTATCTCAGCTAGCAAACCCCACAACATCTCTTGGGGGCTCATCCAGGATTGTGGAAGATGGTGAGTTATCACCTCCTTGTCACTGGGGGTGGTCCCCCTGGACTGCCAGGAGGAGATCCCACCAGGTGCCAACGGACAGTTTGATCCAGAGGGGGATTCATCCTCCCAGCGAATCAGGGTAAGGGGCCTCAGATGCACAACGGAACCCAGTGAGGTGCAGGAACCAGGGAGGGATGGGGAGTACATTCATTGGACTGGTAAGAACCCGGGTTCAAAATCAGGCCTGCCCCAGGAGACAGAAGTGGATCTGATCACCTCCCAATGAGACATCCTAGTAACCACCATTTTTGGGGTGAAACCATGTTTCTGAGGTTCAGGGAGAGGTATGGAAGTATGGTGCTGTATGAGAGTATATGAAAATGCGAGCTGAGACATAGGCTGTGAAGTGAGTGAACAGTTCCCTCCCACTCTATGTCTGTCTGACAGTCTGGTAACAGGAGGAGATATGTGGAAATCAGAGTGAAAACACTCCCTTGGAGTGTATCTTAATAACTTTAAAAAGGGATTTAATGGAGACTATGGAATTAACTCCTAACAAGCTAACGGTCTTTTGTGAAGTAGTTGAACTGCTTTTGGTGTAGGATGACCCCTGGAAGGGTCACTAGATAAAACTGTGATTAATAAAGTTTTCAGAGTAATTGTGGAAAAAAAAAACCCTAACACCCAGGAGAATGGGAAAAGCCAAGAGGCTAAAACTGGTCTTTAAAAACCAGACTTTGTTGTTTATTGAAGTTCAGGTAGCAATTTATTGGGAAGACTGAGAAGAAATCAGAGTCTTTCAGTCTTTCAGATTTGGTGCCCCACTTTGCACATCCTCACCCAAAATGGGCATCCTGAAGGAGGACTGAGGCTCAGCACTAACTGAGCTCTTACAAAAATTAACACATGAAGGATGGACTTGCACTGACACATAAGATCTGGTATGATTGAAAGAAAAGGAATGTTGCAGAAGGGTTGTGAATGAAGAGAAAGGGAATGGAGAAATGGAAACAAAATTGGGATGAGGACTTCATGGATGAAGTGAAGCGAGAGAGAGGAGAAAAAAGAGGGAGGAGAGAGAAAAAAACAAATGTCATAAAATGTTAGAGACAGAAAAGGATGAAAGGTTTAATACAATCCTTTAGTTGAGTTTTTATGTCTTAAAAAAAAAAAAAACAAAAAAATTTAGGATTATTAAAATATGCCAAAAATACTAAACTTGCTGGCGCCTTACTTCTAGACGCATAAACAGGGAAAACCTACCTAAAAGGGTGGGAAAAGGAGCAACTTTTGACTGTTGCGGTAAAAAAAAAAAAAAAAAACTATTCCAAAGGTGGTACAGTAAGCTTGGTCTGTTATTGAGACAGTTATGAGATACTTATGTTTCCCTTGCTAATAGCTGGTCAGATTATGCATCCATCTAATGTGTGCTCACAGTGTGTGTGTATGTGTAAGTATCTTCAAAATGGTTCTTCAACTATGGCTATAAGGTTAATATGATACTCAAGGTAACAAAAAAGCAGGTTATTTATTTTAAAGATCTCTTTTATAAACTGCTTAGGCTTTTTACACATAAATATGTAAACATCTTGAGAACAGTCCGTATTATAGAGTCAATGTAAAAATTATTACTCTGTTCTGCTGCTATTTTTTAAGAAAACAGGTTTTCAAACTTATTTCAATCAGGTCTCACTAGGACGCAGGCATTCAGAAGGGAAAAAAAAAGGGGAGTACAGCCTGCAGCAAAAATCATGGAATTTGGGTATGGAAATGACATTCACATGTTTAATTCTGCCATAAATACAATCTGGAATTAAATTCTCTCTTATAATACAGGGGTCTATTAACAAATGGGCTTTCTATAAATTCGTTTTATACAAAAAAATAATTTTAAGGTTGCTTTCATTCTATTTTTTTACCCATACAAATATAAGGTTCTAAGTTAAAAGGTTTTATAAATTACTTTCAACAAGTAACATGATATTAAAGATATGATTTTTTAAATAAAAGGATAAAAAAAATACTTTAAAAAGAGATAAAGACAAGCTCCCCCAGGGATACAAAATAAGTTGTCATAAAGATACAGCGTAAGTTGTCATAAAAGATGGAGCTTATAAATGCTTATGTAAGTGATTAACTAAAATCCAGTTACATTAAAGGTTTTGTAAGGTCAAAATTTAATGTACTGATGTTAAACTAAAAACTTAATTTTCTAAGCTCATAACAAGAAGGCTATCTTTAAAATATTGTATTGTTTTTGATAACATTTACAAAAAAATTATCTTACAATGGTTTTTGTTTTGTCAAGATAACTGTCAGGGAATTTTTGGTGCAACAGGTTAATCTACAAATTTAGCAAAACAACAAGAATTTATTAAAACACAGAAAAACAAGAGGCAGATGAGCACAGGGAATACTGCTGCACTTATGTAAGAGTTAAAACAAATTTACTTATGTAAAGCCAAAGTGCACCCTCCAGATAGGAAAAAAAAAACTCAAAAAGGAACATTACACTGAAGTCAAGACCTCCAGTTTTTATTGGCCTCAACAGATTGAAGGTGTTAGTCCTACTCCTTCCACATGTTGGATGGAGGGAATTTTTTGCTCTGGGATGGCCAGATTGGGCCTGTCATTTTAGGGGGGTGGGGCTCCATTGGCTACAGGTTGGTGGGATCCTGCTGTATGTCATGAGCCAATAGTTAATATCAACAATCTGGATGTGAGCCCTTATCAACATCTGAGCCATAATTCTTGGCCACTGTGTTTCCTAACTCCACACTTGGTCCCCATAAATACTTACCTGTGTTCTCTCATTATTTTTGTCAGGGTTTTAACTACTAAGGTAACTAAGTCATGTTCATGTAAGAGTTGGTTTATGTTGGGGTTAACAATGAAGACAGTCATGTTAGGACCAGACCACCTCCTCCTTGCAGATGGCTTACCTTTATCTCCCTGGATAGATGCCAAGGACAGTTGGGTAGACAG